ACATAGTCAACTGCCTCAAGAATATTAATATAATAAACAAGTTTCGTAATGACCATATCAGAATTGTCCATCTGGGAAATCTAAACTTTTAAGCAGTTGTCGGCTACCAGTACACCGCAAGAAAATAACATCGATGCCAAAACAAATGGCAAAACAATGCTTTCCTTTTCTTTTGTTATTATAGGTTTGATTACAGGCTTACAACTTACTGTCGCCCACTCCACCGTCAAATCTCTTCTTAGGTTAAGAGGCCCCTTCCCTTCCACCTTGAAACAGGGTGAGCTGCATGTAAAGCCACCACTTAATTAATTGGTGGAAGATAAAATTGAGTGGAGTTGTTGGCATAATTGAAGATTAGTTGTTGACATAATTAGTGGAGTTGTTGGCATAATTGGTGGAGTATGAGTGAAGATGAGTTGCTGGCATAATTTATGGCATAATTGGTGTCATGATTTGTGACCTTTATCCCCTCACTCTTGCCTATAAATAAACAATGCCTCTAAGCTTATTATGCACACCAAGATAGAGAGAAAAAGAGGAAAGTGAAGAGAGTATAATCCCATAAAATTATGAGATATTTATGAGAGAGTAAGTGATGTGTTTTCTCCTAGTAATATAGAGATTCTTAGTTGTTCTCCTATTACAACTTACTGTCGCCCACTCCACCGTCAAATCTCTTCTTAGGTTAAGAGGCCCCTTCCCTTCCACCTTGAAACAGGGTGAGCTGCATGTAAAGCCACCACTTAATTAATTGGTGGAAGATAAAATTGAGTGGAGTTGTTGGCATAATTGAAGATTAGTTGTTGACATAATTAGTGGAGTTGTTGGCATAATTGGTGGAGTATGAGTGAAGATGAGTTGCTGGCATAATTTATGGCATAATTGGTGTCATGATTTGTGACCTTTATCCCCTCACTCTTGCCTATAAATAGACAATGCCTCTAAGCTTATTATGCACACCAAGATAGAGAGAAAAAAAGGAAAGTGAAGAGAGAGTAATCTCATAAAATTATGAGATATTTATGATGTTTATGGGTGGTAATCATGCTTTAGAGACTGCTGACATTGGCACTATTAAATTGAAGATGTATGATGACTTAATTTGTACTATTTTAGGAGTGCGACATATAAAAGACTTAAAGAAGAATCTTTTATCCATAGGACAATTTGATAGTTTTGGCTGTAAGATTTGAAAAGATAATGGAATCATGAAAAAATGGAATCATGAAAATCATCAAAGGAGTGCTGGTGGTTTTAAAGGCAAGAAAGATAGTTGAAAACATGTTTGTATTAATGGGAGAAACACATCATGAGGTAGAAGTGTCAATTGCATCAGCTAGTCCTGCAGAAAAGAAGACGATGATGTGGCATAAAAAACTAGGCCACATGTCAGAGAAAGGTTTAAAGGTTCTCTCTAATCAGAAGTCACTCCCTAAGCTTACAAAGGTTACTTTACCTTTTTGTGAGCATTGTGTTATAAGTAAACAACATAAGTTGAAGTTTGGCACATCAACAACCAAGAGCAAATGCATCTTAGATCTGATTCACTTTGATGTTTGGCAAGCACCAGTTGTATCTTTAGGAGGAGCAAGATACTTTGTATCTTTCATAGATGACTTCTTTAGGAAATGTTGGGTGTATCTAATTAGAAGGAAGGCAGATGTGCTTATAGTCTTTAAAACTTTCAAAGCGCGGGTGGAACT